ATAGTCCTCACATTACACAAAAAACATGGACGAGATAAATATCGTCAACATGCTTTTCATGTACTTTTAACTATATGTATTATCCAAATCTCAAACTTAATATACGTAGATCGTTTTGCATGTTGTAGTTAAACCTGGATCTAATCATGAGCCCAAACCCATGCAGGCTCAGGCCTAGAGTGTCAATGGGCGAGCTTGGGCAATATATTTCTTTCTCAGCTCAGAAACCCTGAAGTTGGCCTGAGCCGAAGACTAGTCATATTTGTAAAAAACTCAATATTTTTCAAATCATAATTCAGTCAGAGAAAGCTTTGAGGCTCGATATTCGACTTGACCTAACCACTTATCAAGCGTAGTCATTCTTCATCATGATCTATATGTGATCGTGGTGTTTATCGTCAACTTACAAAAGTTGCCCTTAAGACTACATGTTAAATGGAAAAGTCATGTCTCGACCCCTAAGGAGGAGGTATAGGAAAAATGAAACCCTATTTTTCTTTCTACCTATCTCATATAAGCATGTATGGATACTCCCACTTTAGGAGAGTGATTAATTTTCCCAATTTATATATCTTTTGAAATCATAACACATTATTCGAAAGAAATGAATGGTAGGGATCCAAGTCGTACAGTTTGTTTTCGATCCTTACATCCTCTTGCGGGTTAATACATGGACCACGATGTTCAGTACATTCAATTGAAAAAGAAACCTTTTCTCTCCCTCCACTGTTCTCCCTTGAGTGTATGAACGTGGAAGCAGAGTCCGTCTGTTTGAAGGAAGGCTATTTTGGGAAAATTGTTTTCTACACATTAATTAGCTTTTCGTCATCCAAACAGCAGAAAATCAAAAAATAATTTCCCGAAAACAATTTTCATTCAAACAAACGGACCCTAAGTGTGTGGAAAGTCAGTAAGACTGCATATGGAATATGCTTAATAGGGTAGGCACGGGTCATCATCCTTGCACACATCAAGAGTAAATTACAATACCTCGCCAACCAACAGCAAGAGGGTCGTGACCACAATACATAATGTAAGTGTAGCATCAACGTGCTGCCAATCGGTATTAAAAATTGGTGGAGAGATGGATTTAAAAAGGGAAACTCGTCAACTTTGCCGAGGCGTGGGGATTAAACTAGTGCAGATTTTCGCAAGAATGGTTCGCCTAGTTTGATTCCCATGATCGTATGCAGACAAAGGAGTGGACAAGAACGAACTAGGCCACGCGTGTACGAAGACGCTTACGATGATAGACATGATAGCATTTTAGAGCATGCATGCATAACTTGGAATAAAGAATAATACAAGAGCATAGGTACAAAAAAATATGTGTATGATGATACAGAGAATATGATGTAAGAGAAGGCCTTTGCCATACTAGGGTTGGAAATGTCCCTAAGATTGCAACGCATGATTAAGAAAAGGGATAAGATTATTGGCTACAGCCTGGTCAACAGCTATTGGTGGAAATTTTCAAAAACACGTGTAGAATTCATATGATTTAGGAACATTTAGGTTTAGCATAATTGAATGAGAATTAGACGCTTCTGTAATTGGGAATGGTCGCTTAGAAACTACAAATGAGTAACTGAAGTGTCAGTGTTTAACTCGCGAGAGTAGTACGTGTGTGCTAAATATGACTGAAGGATGTGCAGTTAATAGAACTAGGCAATTTGTCATTTTATCCCCATAATTTATAATATGGTAACTTATTTCGAACGAGGATGGCTTGATCCTCCTAGAGGCATAGACAATATTTCGTATCGTACGCAAAGATCAAACAACCTAAACACGACACATTGTTGTACCATTGCCAGTCCATTGCCATTGTTTCAACTCGTGAATCGGTTGGAACTAGCTTGGTCAATTCAATTCCGGGAACCTCAAACCTATCCTAGACCGGTTCCATTCCCGGTTCAAGCCTTAGAACCGCTGGTTCTGTTTGGAGGGGGGGGGGGGGGTGTGGTCATATTCAACAATCTCCATGATCTTCTTTCGCCTCCCTTTCGTCGTTATGACTCCAATTCGTGTCTGGTCGGGTAATCCTAATCATGAAGGTTACGCTCATCGAAGCAGGTTCTTTTTCTCTCTGCTACCTAGATATTCAAACAACAACCCTTTCCCCGGCCGTGGTGAAGAAGGATTGAGAAACATAGAAGTTAACGTTATTTTCCTGCTAAAATTGTTTTGGTCGAGTGGTAATTATAGACAGATGACTATGGACCCTAAACCAAATGATCCGGTTCCTAATTCCCAAAAAGGGATTCAGGGGGTAGGATCCCATTTTAGGTCAGGAACCGATTAGTCCTAGATCAACTTGCACATCGAACAAATAGCACAATAAATCAAGTTATCGTACCAGCTCTTTGTAATATCAACCAATAATAAGAACATTGAAAGCAAATGCATTCTGTGGCTGTGGAGAAAAAGGGACGAAGATTGGCCCAACATCGAGCTGGGCCTTCAATTGAGTAATAAGCCCAATCTGGTGTGGTGTGGTGTGGTGCGATCATGTGGAAATTCTATTACTAGAAACAACCTTCGATTTTGATTTCGGATAAATGTATTTTGCTATGAGTCAATTTGGCTTATGAAATACCAAGTGCAGGTTGTGGATCTTTTCAATCTTCGTTGGTTTCAATTGTTTTCAAATTGTCTACTCTCGTATGCAAGTAGAGATCGGGTCGGACTGCTATTGACTTCGGATCTCTCGAATTTTGAATAGTCCGGATATGAATTCATTTCGCCGTTGGATGGAGGTCTTTTCAAGTTGGATACGAAAAGTCCAATCTGACCCGGCGAATTATCAACTGCCCTCGGAGCGTCAGCTAAGCAAATTTTATTCAGTATGATTCAGTTTTCAAGACATTGATTGTGCATGCCACAAGGGCGATCAATACTTTGGACATTGAAAAGTTTCGTTAATCGATTATTTAACAAATTTCGTTTTTAATCAAGTTGCATTATCCAATTCTTACCTCACGGCTATCAAAGATTTTTTTTTTTTGGGTTATCAAAGATTATGAATTATCTTTTTTAGATTTAATGTAAATAAAGTATGAAATATTAATCAGTTGTGATTAGATATTGAAAACGTAATGGGGTTTTAAGTTTCGCCTAAACATGCGTGAATGAATACTCGATTCTTTTTTTACATTACTTTTTTCTCTGGCAAATGCCATTCCAGATAAATTAAGCCATAAATTGATAAATAAAATAAATTATTTCCTATTACTTTTGGAGAACCCAAATAATTTAGAAACATTTCATACATTTTGAATATGAAAGTATTTTAGCTTTAAAATGTACATCCTTATTAGATGCTGTTTGAGTCTATTACAAATTTTTGACCTTTTAAGTCTAGTCGTATCCCATCGAATTAGTTTTCAAAGCATGTTGGGCGGGTTTTATTTTTCTAATGAAGTCGATTTTTCACCACCTATACAAACAAAATCAAATTTTAACTTCTTGACTGGATAAAATAATGTTTTAATTTGTAAAAAAATCTATAGAACAACAAGATTGAATTTATGTTAACTTATGGGCCATTTACATGTTTAACATTTTGTATGTATCACCATGTGAAAGTAGTGAAGATCACTATCCAAAGTGAAACTTTTAGGCTGCGTTTGGTAGCCCGGTGTTTAGTGACAATTTTTGAACCAGATATACCTGGATATATCCGGATATGAAATTCGACCTAGGGGTGGGATAAGACCGGATTGGATCTAAAATTTAAAAACAACTAAAAATTCATATTTTATTTTTTAAAAGAGTGATAAAGTGACACTTCGCATATTGCTTCACCGGCACCGCTCGCCCGAGGACCATCACCAAAATTACCAATCATCGTCACTTGCGACAATCGCACAATCGCCATCACCTCTGACCATGCCGGTCATCATCGCCGGGCGGTGATTGTGTTCCGACGAGTAAGGGTGGAAAGGGGTCTAAAGACGATCATTCTATCGAGTTTTGCATAAATCATCATTTCCTCCCTAGTCACATACATCCTTTACTTCGAGCCGACTTTTCACGCATGACTCACTAGCCGGCTGTTCACCTACTAGTCGACGACGAACGGCCGGCACATCATCAACTTCTTGGCAACTACGCTCTCAAGCGTCGAGTTCCACGTGCGGGCCCGTCTCACGACACACACCTTCTCCGATGTCGCCTCGCTTAGTAGCTTTATTTGGCAATGGAGTCCGGCTGTATAGCCCATAGGAAGTGCCTCTCACTCTTCACGAGAATGTTCCAAAATTACGTGAACCCGTGTCGGTTGAGAGACGTCATGCTCCCAAGATTGACTTTCCACAGACGTGGTCGAGAGGGTTTGAGTCTCACATACAGAGGAGGAGCAAAGTCAGAGATGAGATTTTCAAAGATTTTTAAAGATTTTCAAATGAGAATGATTTTCAAAGATTTTCAATTTTATCTTCAGTTGCAGGTTCTCGAAGATTTTCAAAGATTGTTTTCAAATATTCCAAATCCTATCTTGGGTTGCACCGATGGCATATGTGAAGGATTTTAAATCCCCTTTATCATATCCCAATCCGAATCCGGACGACAAAGCACAACATTTCTAAAAAATTATGACACTCAAGTGAGCGTAGTACGAAAGTTATGTCATTTGTAGTGTTCATAACTTTTTTTTTCGACTATTTAAGTGTCACAACTTCTTAAAAAGTTCATTTGAGTACTATAACTAACTTACTAAATTTTTTCGACGACGTGACATAGCACTTTGATGAACATTTAGCATTCAAGTGATTGATTAAAAAGTATATGACCCTCAAGTAATAACGAAAAATGTTATGATATATAGAACATGTAATCATGATATTCAAGTAATCGAAAAAAATTCATGACACTCAAGGTTTTCCACACATACACGAGTTGTGGTATCCTTCTCCCAAAAGTCAATACCAACGAGTGAAGATTCCAAAGTAAACGAGACATCGCCGGGCGAAAGTTATCTTTTTCGGATAGCGTGGCGCGTCTAACCGGGAAGGCGCGTGGAGCCAACATCGAGCTGTTTGGTGAAGAAAAGAGCGATCATTGAACTCCCCCTTCTCTCTCTCTCTCTCTCTCTCTCTCTTCACAGAAATTAAGGTACAGCATCTCCCGGGAAGAACCAAACGTATTCTCCGAAGATCGAAGGTTCGTCCGCCGTCCCCGTCGTCGTTTCGGGTCGGAATCTCGTGGGTGTCGTGCTGAATTGCGCGCCTGGCGTGGCGTTTTGCCCTCGGGCGATCGTTCGATCGTCCCGAGTTCTCTCTTTTTTCCCGGCTGCATTTCTTGATTTCTTGATTCAAAGTTTCGTTCTTTTTTACGAGTTCTCTTTGCTCTGTTCATCAGCGGAACGAATTGGTCGGAGCCTCCCGTGTCGCCATGGCAGTCGTAGCGGATGACACCACCAGAATATGCAGTCACTGGTAAATTTTTCTTTTTTTAAGTGTTTTCGTTCCCTTTTTCTTTCTGGGTTGCGGCTCAATTATCTTTTGATCCGGAATGTTGACCGGTGAATTTCGATTCATGGGTCCGGGTTGACGGCGTAATTTGGGTCGAATTTATGTTTTTCTCGGCGTTTTTGAGTGGTTTTATGATCTTTCATCAGCTTTGTGGTGGTATAATTTGACCGGGTGAGCTAACTTCATATGTTTGTGGGGACAATTAGAAGGTTACTGAGGTTTTTGGTGTTTGATCTCGCCGTAGGTGATGTGTGGGAAGACAGTATTAGCTCTGAATTGCTGCACTAGTTCTCGTATTGTGATTATGTCTCAATTGAACTGCTGCAACTTAATTCTAGAGGATGCAGTGTTTATTTTTCTGTGCTCAGGCGTGTTGATGGTTGATGTGTGTACTTCAAGAAACGCTGGTGGGAGGATAGGCAAAAATGCATGTTGTGTACTTATATGAATTATCATTCCATATCTTTAAAGGCTTTAATGTCCAGTGCTAAGCTGATTCCAAGTGTAACGCCTTGTTTCTAAACAGCATGTGCGTGTTTAAAAATTGGATGCTGAGGGGAGGACAAAGTCTATAATATGAACACACAGAATAGATTCTGCAGATTACTCTAAGGTCATTCCCTCTAGCACTGCGCTGCTTCACCCTGATCCTGCATGTCTAACTTTTCAGAACTGTAGTAGTTACCTAGATCACGGTTTGTTATTTGAGTCATGTAGTCGTGCACTGTTGGAATATGTGCAGGTTATGTTATCAAATGCCTAGCACATTAGGGATAGGCCTGGTTGGAAAGTCAACTGAGATATTAAGTATTTTTCAAGTATGGTAGTGGATCAACTACTGATTAATGCAGTGATGATATAGTTTTTGGCGTCATTTTATAATTGAAACTAAATGGCTGTTTTTTATCAGCACCACATAACTTCTGGTGTTTTACTGAACATGTACGCTGCAAATGTTGTTATATCTTTTAGAACTGGGGCTGTTTTCTATATGTTTTCTGGTGGAGGCTTGCTCTGGTCTTTCAGAGCTTGAGACCTTACCATAATTTTTTATGCCTCCATATCTACAATGGCTAATGGCTCATTTTCCATAGAATTCACTCATGCTCTGTGATTTTAATGGCTCGATCCAGCATGACATACTCTATTTTTCTGGTTTAACATTTGAGGTTAGCTGACATGTGCATGCTGCTTTTCTTGCAGCGAAAGATCTATCCCTTCCCCAAACATCGATCTACACTATGCCCATTGCTCTCGGAATCTTGAAAAATGTAAAGTTTGTGGGGACATGGTTCCTAAGAGACATGCGGAGGAACATTTCTTGACCACCCATGCTCCGGTACGTAAGTTCTCAAATGGAACACTTCCATTTGGTGTGCCCTTTTTCTTTCATCTATACTGTAAATGGACAAGTTTCTGTCTTTGTGCATCTTCAGAGCATGGTCGGTCTCCATTGTGCTGGATATTAATCCATGATTTGACTTTTTTTTTCTTTGTTTGTGCTTTTTTGTTTGGGGGATGTTGCTGAATTGGAATTTTCAAGGTTTTAGGGATGCAGTGTCAGGATGTAGTTTGAGTATTGCTGATTTCTACCTGTTATTCTGATGTTTGCTGACAAAGTGTGATGCTACTGTGTTGTGCTTATAAACTGACTTGAGGGAAATGGCATTTGGAACTTGATGTATAATTAATAATAGCTTGATTTGATATGTGAATACTAGCTGATGTACCTTGCCTACAATGGTCATACTGGACCATGTTGTTAGCCATGACTTTCTTTTTCCTGACCGATATGTGTCAGATATGTATGATATGTTTACAATCAAGTCAACTTTTTTGTGGTCATGCTAAGTATTCCTTGATCTGGAAGTCCTCTTGCCTTTCTTTATTGTGGGACAAGCCTATTGTGCTGCTACTTTGAGATGAAGAATGAAAGAAAGAGGGGAGGGGGGGCGCTCTGGTAATTGTTTATTTGTTATGTATATGTTGCACTCTTGAGCTGATTGCTGAAAGCTTTTATATCCTATCTAAGAAACCCCCGTTACTACGAACAATGTCTATGCTAATCCTAGAAGGGGCTTTAACTTTCTAGACCAAATAAATTAATTACTGGGTTCATTGCTTCATAATTCCTTGTTTGATTGTATTGTTTGTCAATAAAAGTGAACCAGAATTTCACCATGCGACTTTGTAGATGCCATTTTAACACTTCTCCCTCTGTACCTTCTACTAATTAGCTTATCTAAATTGATCCTATGGGTTTAGATGGTTGAATAACTTCTGTGTCAAGATTTTTTTGAGGTTACATTTGCATTTTGTTGTACCGTAATCCTCAGTAAAACAGAAAATATTCTTTACAAATAGATTGAAAAAGCAGACCAAGCGTTATGCTTGAGGTTTCTGAGCTTAGCTCTGATGTTTCCTGAATTTTTTCATGGTCCTCATGTGCTGGAGCAGGTTTCTTGTTCGCTGTGCAGTGAGATGATGGAACGTGATATTTTAGCTGTTCATAGAGGAGAAAATTGCCCTCAAAGGATCGTCACTTGTGAATTCTGCGAGTTTCCATTGCCTGCAATTGATTTGGCTGAGCATCAGGTAGCTTTTTTGTGTATCTGAAGAAATAATACTGAGAGCTGCTATCAAACAATCCTGTATGTCATGTCCACGTTACTTCATGATTGTAGGAAGTATGTGGAAACAGGACAGAACTTTGCCATCTTTGCAACAGATACATTAGATTGCGAGAAAGATACAACCACGAACGTCGCTGTGAGGGTGTTCCAGATCATAGTGCAGGACCTTCCAGGTAAACAACTGTAACTTGTCTCTGGATATTTAGCAAGCAGAATATTTGCCCCCTCTTCTCACAAAAGGCTTGGATTTCAAAATTGTCCACAATTATAGTAATCTCTGTTGTTTATTTTGTTTCATTCCTTTGTTGCTCTTGGAAAGGTTTGTAAATTCAATCCAATAGGCTAATTAGCTGTACCTCTTTCCCCTTGTTATCTGTTTTTAGATGTCAGGGTTTTGTTATTACACTGGCCTTCGATGTTTCTCCTGACCCAGCCCCATTAGTTTTTCCTTGCGCCGTTGCTCTTGAATCATCAAGCAAGGGCATGGAAGCAGTTCATATTGATTTGTCTTCAGATACATTGCTTTCTTGACATTAGTGAAGACTTACCTTCTGTTCTCCTTTTGGCTGGGATGGTTGAAATTCCTGCTAGTTTTCTCTGATACGCTGATTACATGTTTTATCATTGGTAGAATCTCACTGTTTGTCACTGTATTTTAGTGGATTTTGCCACCAGGTCACTGAATTATTATATCAATCTAGTTTCATCCATTTTCGGGCAATTGATGCACTTTAATTAGTACCAATTAATCTTTCGGCAAGACACTGGCGTGTGGCTACATGGCAATAACATGGTGTCCAGAATATTGGCTACAAGTCTACCACTCTAGCATTTTGCGGGAAAATTGATCTGATTCTGGTTATAAGATGCATGAGTTGCAAAGAAATGAATCTCAAGGCCTCATTTGGTTCACTTTGGCATTGGATTTTTCAAGGAATGGAAATCCTATTATCGAAATTTTTCATGTTTCAAGATTCATTATATAGATTAAACATCCAAACTTGATAGTTGTAGTAATAGGATTTACAGATCACATGCCTTGGGTAATCCAATTCGAAAGGGAACCAAAAGGATGCCTGTGAATTTGAAGCTGGAAATCGAAGTTCATAAACCATGAATCAGCCACAGTTGATGCAGGATAACAGCGGGTGGAACTACCCTTGATCATTTGTTATGCTTTTTAAGATTCTTCTACCTTGATAAAATTCTCCACTACGGTGACGATGATTGAATTCTGCACCCAATATATGTACAAATTGTCTGTGTCTTTTCGTGCCTTAGTAGCATGCAACTTTCTGGACCTTAGGGTAGGTGCTATTTAAAATTTCATGTCTGACAAATACGATGAATTTTCTGTATCTTTCTCAGTAACATCAGACCACCTCAAGGAGAGCGTCCTCCACGGGGGCAACCCAATGAGTACTCTCCAAGGCGCATCTTATTCACCATCGCAATCACGGGTATTGCCGTTCTATTGGGTTCGCTATTCTTCCAGAAAAAGATGGAGAACAATCAGGTGCATTGAGTTTTGGACCGCGCAGCAGACACATTCGATCAATGTAAATCGGCTAGTAAGCTCTTCATTTATAGAGGCTGGGGATCGTCCGAAACCATACTATTGTAATGATAATTAGGTACATATGGGGTTGTCGCAATAGATTTGCCTGTGACGAGACGCTCGGTTGTCGCAGCTTTTCTTAGTTTTCTCACGAACTTAACTTCATCAACGTTGGCTGTGAACTTTTTGCCTTGTGCTCATGTTGTATTCTTAGCAGTGGTTTAGCCAGACTTTTACTACAGCTTCATTCAGAAACTCAACTTCAATCTCATGGATTGTATCGCTACCTTAATTTTGGGTTACGTGATCCTCGAACTTTAGTGAGGCTATCGAATTGTGATTTCCTGATAATTATGTTGTGGTGTTATCAACCACTTTTCTTTGAACGACAGTAAATGTAAATCTGAGATAAAAAGGAAAAAGAAAAAGAGACTATTGATTTTTTTGTTTCCAAAGAATCTGATAATGCTATAGTTTTATTGAATCGAAGGAAATGAAACCTTGGACACGACATTAAAATGATAAACTATTTTAAACTTTTCAGAGCAATTTTTGAATTTGTATTGGCAAAAAAAAAAAAAGTTAAAAAGGCTAGCAAAACTAATATTAGAAAGTAAGCAAAGTGTAAGATTGAGAGAAATTAATAAAAGACTTCTCTTCGACCAAAAAAAAAATAAATAAATAAAGGACTTCTCAAATTTCCACCCATTTTTTACACTTAGCGATAAAAAAAGAAGAAAGAATACCCTGCTTGTAAAAGTAAAAAAGCAAAAGAAAAACAGTTACACTGTGTGGTATATTAAATTAATTTATTTACCTTTCACTTTTTCTTCAAAAGATGAAAAAGCAAGCAAAATTCAATCAAAAAACTACTTCGCCCATTTTCTTTTCACACTCCAATTATTTAGATAGATGTAGAACTAGTGCCGGGCGCACGCGTGGTTGGGTGAATGTGTGACGGGATGAAAATGGGTAATTGTATAAGACAATGTTTGAAGTGAGAAGTTACTCGAGATATGATAATTATGTCCTTTTTTGTCTTTGCATTATTTAATGCAAGAGTAATTCCAAAAAATGATATGATAATAAAATCAATTTGTTCAATTGGATAGTGAATGAAATACTATACATTTTTTTTCTTTTTTTTACCACTATAAGAATTCTTTTTTGGGAAGCTAATATTTTAAATAAACATTTTTTCCATTCTGAAAGTAATAATTTATTCAAAACTTAGCAAAAGAAAATGAGAGAAGATGGAGTTGGTTGTTGCCGTGTGGAGACAATTAAGGAATTTCGCCTAGTGCACTTTTTAGTGAAAAATCGATGGATGACTTCTTTCTCGTATTACAATATTAGCAAAATCAAAATTTAAAAATGAGACAAAATGGTGTTTTGGCTTATATTAGTGGACTAATATTGAGTTGAGGCATACGAGATACACTTGCATGGTTGTCAATTGGTCATGTACTATGACCAAAAAAAAAAAAATTGGTCATGTACGAAAAGAAAGAAATATTTTTTTTTAAGAAATTGGATAATTATTTTGCTGATTGAATATATTAATCATGTGTGAATTGTGTGTTTACTTTATAAGAAGAAAGTGCTGGCTAATTTTAATTTTTTCTTTTGATATAGCGATAATAATAAAACGGTTAAAAAGTGAGATAAACGATACTTTTTGACTTAAATAATTGATATATAAATAAATAGATTCTTGGTATACAACTTAGTTTTCATTAAGTTTTAGGAAAATTTTGAGTATTTCATAAACTCTAGAATCAAATTTCTTAAAAAGATTTTGTTAAAGCGTCAAACAAGTACAAATTTCAACACACCGTCTTTTCTTGCTATATATATGAGTCGTTAATAATTTGAGAATTGGGCATTCCGCAGATAAATATATTTAATTAGTGCCCTAATTAGCATAATCTTCGATAAATATCCAATTGCCCAGAAGATGGTTATAATGAATGAATAATTGAAGACTGCAATATATATTTTTCATCTAGCGACTAACGCGTGGGAACACAGCAACCATCTTGTTATTACTTCTCTGTCATCGTCAATAATTTTGGGATGTGAAGTAATCAAATTGCATCTTAGGCTCCGTCTCCTTGATAAAAAAATGTATGATTCGGAAAATATTTTCCCAATAATAATTTATTCACAACAATTTATATCTAAACATTTTCATGAACGATGAAAATATTTTCGTTCATTAATTTTTATAAGAAATAAAATCAATTATTTTTAAGGAAAATATTTTTTAAATTATTCAATTTTCGATCGCGGAAAATGTTACATTTAGAGAGAGAGAGAGAGAGTCCGGAACTTTAAGCCCAAATGGAGTAAGAATCGAAGCGAAACTTATAATTACTGTTTAGCATCTCATCTGTCAACTACCACCACCGCTCAAAAGTGAACTCGCCAACAGCCACTGCTGCTTGAAATTCAACATGTGATGATCAGTGATGGGAAGTTAAGGCAAAGGCTGACGCGCCGCGTGATTCGTTCCTCTCCCCTATCGAGATCGATGGGTCTGTGCAGTTCCAAGAAGTCGAAGGAGCAAGCCTCTGATCCTCAAGAACTCCGAGGTAAATTTCCCCCCCCCGGATGTTGTCCTCCTCCTCTTTGCGAATTACAGTGATCTGGGTGTGTGGGGAAAGTGATCTGGGTGTTTTGTCGAAATTCGTGCAACTGGGTCGTTTGTTTATTTCGTTCTGTGTTTGCCGATGTTGATGATGAGCGAGAACACGGGCAGTTTTTGCATGTTTTGGCACTTTCATAAGAGAGACGGCTACGTCTCTAGACGAGTCACAGACTCAGTTTCTAATGCAAGAGCAACCAGTGACGTGCAAAATACGGCATCAGTCACGCTTTCTCAATGATTCCATTTATGTACGTTGAATAGATCAGTCTCGTGCTTATATACGCTAAAAATTCGATCTTTATTGCTGACAATCTACGGAAGTTTACGATGATATTCACGTTTTTTCTGAACTCTCTCAATCTTTGAGTGGGCTAATGACGCCTATGTAGCCTCTGTACTTGGACGTAAGAGGGGATATAAAAGGACTTGAGAATTAGCATAAAGGTTTTGTGGACTGACTTGGCTTGCTCGGCATATTGTTCTAATCTGTAAGACAGGAAATTCATTGCATTTAATCAAGAATCGCATGCCCGTTGACATATTCTGGGAAATTTCGCAGGACAAGAAGCCATGTCTACTCCGGGAGTTCATCTGCACATCCAACATCATCAAGTATGAATTTTCCAGAGAGTGTCAACTTTCCTCCATTTTTTTTTTGTTGCTTTTTTTGTGCCGGGGGGGGGGTTTGGGGGGTGTGCGCGTGTGTGTGGAGAAATCATTTAGGACATCAAACAGGTATCCTGCAGGATAAGAACGACCTGGTATATGTTGCGTTAGATTTCTTTTGGCATTCTTAGATTTACTTCACTCTCTTTGCAGGTGATCATGGACAATGGCATAGTGCAGGTCACATTATCGAAACCCGATGGAATAGTCATTGGAGTAAGGTATAACAGTGTCGACAATTTACTGGAAATCTGTAACCAAGAATCTAACAGAGGGTGAGTGTGATTTGACCGCTTCCGTTTCTTTCTTACTTCATTCGTGTTCATTTGGAAAAGGATGGTTTCTTTGGTTAAAATGCAGGATTGCATGCAACACAATAAATTGTCCATGTGGCCCAGCATTTCGATACATGGCGTGTTTTACAGTGCTCAGGGAAAAAGTTTATACGATGCAGATATTAGGCTTTTGAATTAGGATGTGTTGTCTTGCTGTGTTTCTCTGAGTTTCTTCGATACTGAGATAATCTATGCTTTTCTGTTTTTTCCTCGTTATGAAATTACTGTTTGATGCAGCAACTGTCACAAGCTTGTCCATCTTTTCTCTTTCTTATTTCGGTTATTTCTTTTCTTGTATTTCCACTGGGCATTTCAGATACTGGGACCTGGTTTGGAATGCGCCGGGAAGCAAGGGAATATTCGACGTGTATGCCTGCTACTCTCTTTCTTTGATGCCTTCATTTCTCCTTTGTCAGAGCTAAGCAGAATGTCATTTTCTCAGCTAAGCAACATGGTTATGCATATGATACATTTCGTGTGACAATGCCATTCGGACATCAATCGATGTCCTTTTCTTGTGTATGGATGTTTCAAACTCCGTGTGCCAAAGCTCGAAATTCTGCCTCTGCACCGCTTCTAACCACAACACTCGCTTCTTACTCCTCCAGGTTACAAGATTGCCCCAAATAAAAGTACAATAACCAGAAGTTGATCTCCTATCTTCCACTGATCCCGCCCAATCAGCATCTGTATATCCTTCAATTAATCTATTCTCATTTTTTCTGAAAAACAGCCCCTTTCCAGGTACACTTCAAGTATTTCAAAATTCTAAAGACAGCTTCCATATCTTCTTCAGTAGGATCATGCATATATCGACTTACCACACTTACAACAAATGCTATATCAGGTCTGGTATGTGAAAAATAAATGAGTTTACCTACCAAACGTTGATACCTTCCTTTATCTACAGGTGTCCCATCGACTTTACGCCGGTTTGCTTAATGGTTCCATTGGAGTATCAACGGGTTTAGAGCAAAGCATCCCTGTTTCTTTCAATAAATCCAATACATACTTTCTTTGGGTAACGGAAATACCTTCTCTATTTCTTGCAAATTCCATTCCAAGAAAATATCTTAAGGATCCCAAGTCCTTAATTTCGAATTCAGCAGCTAACTTCCCTTCAACCTTGACATTTCCTCTTCGTCATTACCTGTTAAGATAATGTCGTCAACATAAACAATAAGGATAGTACTCTTACCTTCCTTATGTCTATAAAAAGAGTGTGATCCATCTGGCTTGACAATATCCTTGTTGTAAGACGGCTTTAGTGAATCTCCCAAACCAGGCTCTAGGAGATTGTTTCAGCCCATAAAGAGCTTTGTTCAATGCAAACCTTTCCATACTTCTTCGCATCATCAAATCCTGGCGGAAGATCCATATAAACTTCTTCTTCCAAATCACCGTTTAGGAATGCATTCTTGACATCGAGTTGTTGTAGTTTCCAATCAAGGTTTCTGCAAGAGAGAAATTACTCGTATAGTATTCAGCTTCGCTACGGGTGCAAACGTCTCCCGTAATCAATCCCGTATGTTTGGGTGAAACCCTTGGCGACTAATCTTGCTTTGTACCTTTCCACGAG